GCTTGCTTTCTTGCTCTCTCTCTCTCTCTTCTTCCTTCCTTCTTCCTTTCCTTTCCTTTCTTTCTTTCTTTGACACAGTCTTGCTCTGTTGCCCAGGCTGGAGTGCAGTGACCCAATCTCAGCTCACTACAACCTCCACCTCCCAGGTTCAAGCCATGTTCCTGCCTTAGCCTCCCAAGTAGCTGGGATTATATGTGCGTGCCACCACATCGGCTAATTTTTTATTTTTAGTAGAGAATGGGGTTTTACCATGTTGACCAGTCTGGTCTCAAACTCCTGATCTCAGGTGATCCACCCACCTCAGTCTCCCAAAGTAGCTGGGATTATAGGTGCCTGCCACCACACCCAGCTAAGTTTTGTATTTTTAGTAGAGAACGGGGTTTCACCATGTTGACCAGGCTGGTCTTGAACTCCTGACCTCAGGTGATCCATCTGCCTTGGCCTCCCAAAGTGCTGGAATTACAGGCACGAGCCACAGCACCTGGCCAACGCCCAGCTTTTTCTCGGCCCATTTTTAAAAGTAAATAGAGTGTCCTCCCTTGTCAGCCAATCTTCCAGATCTAAATGGCTCTCAGTATCTCTTCCTGAATGCTCATCCTTTATCTAAACTAACCGATCTCCTGCTTGTGTTGCCACATTTATATTATCACAGGACTTATAAAAGCATTCTTGGAACTCCTTAAGTGAAGAGACTGGGCCTTATGCTTTACACTGCCCCTAACCCTTGGGAGGGACACAGTACACAGTAAATGTTGGTTGGTTTGATCCTAAGTGAAAAACTGACTTGAGACAGGAGACTACATCAGTACTCATTGGAGCAATCTGTATAGCACTTTTTTGAGCTTCATGGTTGGAATGGGGCTGTGAAGAGCTAGGGAGAAGTGGTTATGAGAAAGCTTAAGGAAAATGTCTGTACAATGTTTGGTCTCACACAGTCCCCTTCTATCCTTTGTCCCCTGCCTTCTGGCTGACATTGTATTGGGAAGCAAAGGTCAGGGGCTCTGTGTGAAGGCAAGGGGTCCAAATGATTTCACAAGGGATCTAAGGGAACTGGACAGCCAAGAAAATGATCAAGGGGCAGGTCCTACACAGGGACTGGGAAGGCAAGCAGAGAAACCAGAGTGCTAGCCAAAAATGCTAGAAGATGATTCTGGAGCTGTGGCACAACTATCCACAAAAGCACCCTCTTTTCTTGATGGAGTCTCAGTATAGTTCACTCAGGCGGAGATCTAATGAATATGCACCAACTGCATCAAAGGACACTTGCTTCACACCCATGCCTTGGCACCTTCCTGAGGTTGAAGATGCCACAATTCACCAGATGAGTCAATTCATGGGAAAAGGGCTAGTCAAATCCCAGGCTCTGTCTAGCAACTGCCTCCCAAGTGGAAAAGAAATTAGCTTAAGTAATCAAAAGATTCCCTAATGCAAGATTGGTGACATGCCGAAGTCCCTCTTTGCAAAGAGGCAGCTGCACTGTTGCAAAGTAGGCAAAGAAAGGCAAGGGGCTTCTTTTAAATGGGAACGTGTAAAATAGAAGCAGGGAACTGTGAATGCCACAGCAGCAATTATGCAGAAAGACTGCAGTGCAGACACAGAGCAGCACCATCCTATCTGATAACATCAGCAGCAGCAGAGGCATATTCCAACAAGAGCTGTTTAAGAGCTGCTAATTACTTAGATTCCAATAGGAGCTATGTCTTAAAAGTGATTACACTTTTTAATTACAGCTTTTTGAACTGACTGCAGCTGTTAGCTATAACAGCAGTAATCTAAATACATGCAAAAAATCCTTTGATCAAACACAAAGGAACTCTTCCAAATAAAGACACCTTTATTTTACATATATATAGAGCTATCTGTTTCACATGAGTAAACAAGTGATTTATACAAATCTATTAAATGTCTAAGCATCTACACTAAAATTTAGGTTCCCTGAGACCAGGGACCACACTTGTGCATCCTTATAATTCCTTACAGTATCTAGTATGGTATGTGGCACGGAGAAGATGCTTCCTGAATTGAAGTGAAACAATTGCTGTATTAATGATTTGATCAGATAATTGTCGTTTGTTACAATAATGGCCTACTATAGAATGAATACTGGGAAAAGCAATACAAAAGTCCATTTTTCTAACCTCAAGTCCAAGAAACATACCTTCTTTTCTAGAAACCCAAAAGAAGTATGGAAATACATTCTTGAAAAGAAAGCTAACCATTCTACATTCCACAACAGAGACCATGTTGATTGTGCTGTGTGAGTTGCTAGGCAACCACTTGGTAATTCCCCATGTAGTAGAGATGAACCTGTCATCTGCCTTCTTAGCTATGTGTGACAAGAAGAGACAACAGGTAAAGGACAGCCAAGAACACCTGCACCTGGATGACAGTCACTCCTGCTAAAAAGTATGGTGACACCGGAGAAAATCCCCATGCCCTATCAGAAATTGCTGGAGGGAGAATTTCATTAAACTATTAGCACAAGACATTGCAATGAATTTTCTTGGATTTACCCTGGGGGTAAATCCTGTGGGTTATCCCATTATACTTGTCCGAAAAACAGGAGACCAAATGCACCATATTTCTGCATGGGAATGGCCATCAGTTCAGTAATAGCTCCAGATCAGCAGGTCCCGTGATGCCAGCTGGGACAGGACTTTACCAGAAAGAAGGAGCCTTTTAATCTTAAAAATAATACTCAACATCTTAAAGAAACCCGTCTCTGGGTGAATAAATCGTCCTTTTTCATACCTGAGTATGTGCACAGAACCACAGAGTGCTTACCTCACTTCCCCATGGGGTCCAGGTACCCTTATTTCAGGTGGAGAGGGAGATATGGATTGGGAAACAGATTAATTTCTAAATGGTTTTCTGAGTGAGTCTGCAAGAGAGACATTATCTTGTGAGTCTGTTCGTGTGTGGTTACATTCTTGGTCTTTTCTGCAATAGATAATAGGAGGAAGCCAGACATGGTGGCATACTCCTGTAATCCCAGCACTTTGAGAGGCTGAGGCAGGCAGATCTCTTGAGACTAGGAGTTGAAGACCAGCCTGGCCAATATGACAAAACCCTGTCTGTACTAAAAATACAAAAATTAGCTGGGCATGGTGGTGCATGCCTGTAACCCCTGCTACTCAAGGGGCTGAGGCACGAGAATTGCTTGAACCCAGGGAGGTAGAGGTTGCAGTGAGCCAAGATCACACCGCTGCACTCCAGCCTAAGTGGCAGAGTGAGACTCTGTCTCAAAAAAAAAAAAAAAAAAAAAAAAAAAATGGCCGGCTGAGGCGGCTCATGCCTATAATCCTACCGCTTTGGGAGGCGGAGGCAGGTAGACCATTTGAGGTCAGGAGTTCAAGACCAGCTTGACCAACATGATGAAACCCCATCTTTACTAAACATACGAAAAACAAAAATTAGCTGGGTGTGATGACACATGCCTGTAATATCAGCTACTCGGGAGGCTGAGGCAGGAGAATCACTTGAACCCAGGAGGCAGAGGTTGCAGTGAGCCAAGATTGTGCCACTGCTCTCCAGAGTGACAGAGTGGGACTGCGTCTCAAAAAAAAAAACAAAAAGAAAATAGATAATGGGGCTGGGGAAACAATCGCTCTCCTTGTAGGGTCTATCCAATCTTTATGTAGATAAGGGAAAAGTATTTTCCAACATCTATTGATCTCTAAGGGATTTTAACTCAAAATACTCATTATATCAAGGAGCTATATTTTGGGGTGAAGTTCCTTGTGCTCTTTTGGAGAAAATACTTTAAAAGTCTTTCCACTGGCCGGGCGCGGTGGCTCAAGCCTGTAATCCCAGCACTTTGGGAGGCCGAGGCGGGTGGATCACGAGGTCAAGAGATCGAGACCATCCTGGTCAGCATGGTGAAACCCCGTCTCTACTAAAAATACAAAAAATTAGCTGGGCATGGTGGTGTGTGCCTGTAATCCCAGCTACTCAGGAGGCTGAGGCAGGAGAATTGCCTGAACCAAGGAGGCGGAGGTTGCGGTGAGCCGAGATCGTGCCATTGCACTCCAGCCTGGGTAACAAGAGCGAAACTCCGTCTCAAAAAAAAAAAAAAAAGTCTTTCCACTAAAAAGATTCAAGATGAGGGTCTAACAGATACAAGACAGCTTCTAAATAGTTTGGGCAGGTATGTGGGTTAAGATCAGCATAAACCACACAACACGTGTGTGCATGCACACACAAACACACCCCCCACATATCTCTGCGACATGCAGAGAAAAAGAAAAAGATGACCAGCTGGAGGCATTTTCTGTAATATGCTTTTACAATGCCCAGCCCCCATTCCTGGCATCCTCCTTTCCACACAAGTGCCTGTACCTAATTGTCAACTGAAGAATCACAAAGTTCATAAATTTGGAAGGAAACCTTTATTTCTCAAGTTCAAATAAAGGGTTGCAGCCTGCCGGCCCACAGGCTGGAAAGTGTAACCTTCAGAAGAAGCTGAGAGCAAGCAGAAACTTATGCTTAGCTGCATGGCCAAATATATTCAGTAAGTTATAGAAGTCATGAATATTTATGAAAGGAGAAAGAAGCATATATGCAATTGGGCTTCACATTTCTTCCCAAGTCCCATGTTCAAAAATGGTGGTGGTGGTGGCCAGGCATGATGGCTCATGCCTGTAATCCTAGCACTTTGGGAGGCTGAAGTGGGCAGATCACTAGGTCAGGAGATTGCGACCAACCTGACCAACGTGGTGAAAACCGTCTACTAAAATACAAAAAAATTAGCCAGACATGGTGGTGTATTCCTTGAGAGACTGAGGCAGGGGAATTGCTTGAACCCGGGAGGCAGAGCTTGCAGTGAGCTGAGATCGCACCACTGTGCTCCAGCCTGGCAACAGAATGAGACTTGTCTCAAAAAAAAAAAAAAAAAAAAAAGTGGTGGTGTTAGCATGGTTCAAGGGTGGAGTTTTTGGCCCTCTTGTAATTGCCCAGCAGGTTCTTCTTACCACTGTACACATAAAACCAATTCACAGGGTTAGGTAACCAGAAGGTTGGAGTTTATTACTCAAATCAGTCTTCCTGAGAACTGAGAGGCTAGAGTACTATGGATGATTTGGTGGGAGGGGGCTAGGGAATGGGTGCTGCTGACTGGTTGGGGAAGAAATCATGGGGGTGTGGAAAACAGTCCTCATGTGCTGAGTCAGCCTCTAGGTGGGGGGTCCACAGGACTGGTTGATTCCTGAGTCTGAGATCATCCGGGTGAAGTCAGTCAGTTGCCAGAATGCAAAAGTCTGAAAAACAACTCAAAAGATCAGTCTTAGGTTCTAAAATAGTGATTACCTATAGGAAGGAGCATTTGGGGAAGTTACAAATTTTGTGACTTCTGAAACAATGGCTGGTTATCATTTAATTATACCTACATTTTAGCAGAATTCAGGCCCATCCCATAATCCTAATCTTGTAGTCTTTTATTGCTTTTACAAAAGTGGTTTCGGTCCCTGAGGAAAGAGGGGGGGTTAGTTTCATGGAGGGCCTGTTATCATTCTTACTTCAAAGTTAAACTATAAATCAAATGCCTCCCATGGTTAGCTTGGCCTATACCCAGGAATGAGTGAGGACAGCCAGCCTATGAGGCAGAAGCAAAATGGAGTCAGCCATGCTAGACTTCTCTTACCATCATAATCTTTGCAAAGGCAGTTTTACTCTGACATGAAAAGGTGAAGCAGAAGACACAAAAATCCTCACTGCATATCCTCCATGAGTCAGCCAAAACTAACCTAGAGATGGCAGTCAGTTTTTAGGAAGGGATGCATTGTGAAACTGGCAAGTTGTCACTTTGAAACTGTAAAGAGATGGAGGAGTGCAATCACTACCTCAGGTGATTGGCTAATGGGGATAAAGGAATGGGTCATCCATTTCTTGTTTTCTAGAGCTAGTTTCTGCTTACACTTTAGGAAACAATTCTGGCTAAAGAAAGGGTAATAAGGAAGGGGCATACTGAGGCATGTCTGATCTCTCTCCTCAGCATGCGAGACACTCAGTTTTCAGGGTTTCTCTGGGAAATGCCTGGCCAAGAGGGGGTCAGTCCAGTTGGCTGAAGGGCTTAAGATTTTATTTTTATTCCTCATAGTGCTTCTACCTTCCCACTGGCCTCTTCCTATTATAGCAGGAAAGGCTGAGATATTACCCATTTCCACTTTAACATGGAGGCTGTCAAGCAAAGTGGCAAGAACTCTGGAATTCAAATCCTGGTTCTACCACTTACCACTGGTGACCTTGGCAAGTGACATGGGCCTCTGTATCTTAGCCTCCTGCTCTGTAAAAAGAAAATAATGATACTACACCCATCTTATAGGATAGTGGGAGGATTAAGTGAATAAATGTAGGCAAATCACTCAGGACAGTGTCTGGCAAATAACAAGCACTCCTCATTATGGAAGATTTTGTCTTGGATTCCAGAGTATCGGTATCACGCAGTGGGAGGGTTTTCCACTGCCTCTAAAATCAAACCTTTGCCTACATATGAACAGCCTGACCATAACCTGAATATTATCCCTTTAGTGTACCTGCTCTGCCAAATACTCCCCTAAAATATGAGCCAAGAATCAGTCTGGCTGGTGAGGGCCTTGTCACCTGACTGCTAAGGGAAAAAAGGTCATATATCCCACTATCCCTGACCTCTGCCTCTGCCATCTGGCACCTGTACATCCCCTGCCCACACAGGCTGGAGCCCCTCTCCTCACACTGACCCATGACACACACTTACCACTCCATCAAATCTTCTTTAAAAACTTCCGAAGTGATCAGCACCAATAATGCTAGATTCTAGGTTCAAACTAGAGGATAACTGTTTTACAGATGGCCAAACCAAGGTTCAGGAAAATGAAATCAGTGGTTCCCAAACACCAGTCTAAGAACTGCTGCTAGTCCTTGTGATGCTGTTTTCACCAGTCCTCAGCCAAACTGGAAAAATAAGACTAAGGCTTTAAGTTTTTCATACACCCAGATTATTATTTTGAGATGGAATCTTGCTCTTTCGCCGAGGCTGGAGTGCAGTGGTGGGATCCTGGCTCACTGCAACCTCTGCCTCCTGGGTTCAAGCAATTCTCCTGCCTCAGCCTCTCGAGTAGCTGGTACTACAGGCACCCACCACCACACCTGGCTCATTTTTGTGTTTTTAGTAGAGACGGGTTTTCACTATGTTGGCCAGGCTGGTCTCAAACTCCTGACCTCAGGTGGTCTGCCCACCTCAGCCTCCCAAAGTGCTGGAATTACACATATGAGCTACCACACCCGGCTGAAATTATTCTATTTTTAAATTGTGAGGTTATGTCCTATCTTTCTTCCTGTGTATATGAAAAAGATATCAAAATGCCCTTTCTTTTGTAAAATGATACTGATAGGAGCTGGGATTTGAAACTAGATCATGTGAATACTTTCACTGCCTCCAATTTTAATTACTTTTAAATATTTTTAAATGACTTCAATTTTAAATTCAACAATTATTAAACAATTGTTTATAAATATTTTAAATTGTACAATAGATTATACCCTTTAAAGTATCTTCAAATAAAACTCGGTTCATGGTTGACTCTTCATGATATCCTATGCAGCATTAAAAATTCAAATCCTCATTTGGATACGCAGGTTACAATTTCTTATTTATTTCTTATTTATTTATTTATTTAAACCAGGACCTCTCGCAGGTTACTATTTCATGAAGTAGATGGAAAAAAGAAACATTTGCATATTCCTAAATGTAGGATTTAACGGCGCACGTCTCCCCCTACTGGTGGTGGTGGTGGCAAACCACGCCTAGACCACAATGGTACTGGGGAGAACTTGAATTGGAAAGGACCCTACAGCAAGAAGAATCCGGTGCTTCAAAACCCACTATCCATCACAGCGTCCTTACCCCAAACAAGAATAAAGAGAGTAAGGTGAGTGAAGGTTAAAGAGTTTGTGGCACCAGTAAACTATCAATAGATGCTGATTTACAAACCTTGGTAAATTAATAGGAAAGAAAAACGTTTACAGTGGTTTAGCTGTATAAAAACATTCACTATCCATTTTCATGAATTGCTTATTCTGTATATGTAATTATGTAGAATCATAGCATAAAATAATCATAAAAATTATGCCTATCATTAAATTAGTCTGATTCGCTTGGTTCCATTACAATACTTGTCAGAAGTTCAAGTTATTGGTACAGCATGGCTGTCTGCTCACGACGCAGGTAAAGTCAAAGAAGTTTGGTTCATTTGCCCCTTCAGAGGACTAAGAGCCTCATGCTTTTGCGTATTTCCTTGATTCTTTTTTGCATGGTAATGCATCATACCCTCACCCACTTCCATTGCAAATCCAACTTTTAGCTGACTTTAAAGCTTTACCTGCTGGTCTCTTCCTACTCCAACAACCAAAAAAGAAAGGTTTTTTTTTTTTCCTCTCTTATTATTGTGCTCAGAATCTTCTGGTACTTACCCCATTCTCTTTCATATTGCTTGTTACAGCAAGTCTTATTTCCCACATTCGATTTTAAGTTATTTGAAGGCAGACTGTTTTAATCTTTTTTAAATTTGGTTTTGTTTTTTATTTAAGTTCAGGGGTACGTGTGCAGGCTTGTCACATAGGCAAATTTGTGTCATGGGGGTTTGCTGCACAGATTTTGTCGCCCAGGTATTAAGCCTAGTACTCGTTTTTGTTGTTGTTGTTGTTGTTGTTGTTTTTCCATAGGTTTTTGGGGAACAGGTAGCATTTAGTTATATGCATAAGTTCTTTAGCAGTGATTTGTGAGATTTTGGTGCACCCATCACCCGAGCAGTATACACTGAACCCAATTTGCAGTCTCTTATCCCTCACCCCCCTCCAGCCTTTTTTCCCTGAGTCCCCAAAGTCCATCGTACCATTCTTATGCCTTTACATTCTCATAGCTTAACTCCCACTTACTAGTGAGAACATACGATGTTTGGGTTTCTATTCCTGAGTTACTTCACTTAGAACATAAGTCTCCAATCTCAACCAGGTTGCTGCAGATGCCATTCATTCATTCCTCTCATAGTGAATTTATTTTGCCCCCTTTGGAAGACTGAGATAGGACCACCCCTCATGTTTTTGCTTATTTCATTAATTCTTTTTTGCTTGGTATGCATTACACTCTCACCTACTTCCATTATTGCAAATTCAACTTTTAGCTATCCTTAAACTTTTACCTACTGATCTCATCCTCCTCCAACAACCAAAAAAAAAAAAAAAAATTTTTTTTCTCCCTTGACTTCATTAATTTTGTTCAGAATCTTCTGGTACTTATCCCATTCTCTTTCATATTATTTATTACAGCGTGTCTTATTTCCCATATCAGATTTTAAGTTATTTGAAGGCAGACTGTTTTATTCTACTTCAAAAAAAGGCAATCTGTTAATGGCTTCATGGACAAAAGCCAGAGTTTCGTAATTGTGTCCTGATGGGCAAAAAGTCTACACAACTGAAAACAAACACCACCTGCGTCATAAATTTGTAAGGCATCACAAGAGGATGCATATAAAGCGGCCTGGCTCTGAATTACTTGGTAATTGTTAACTATTGCTTTCACTCTGTCCCCAAAACAAAAGCCTTACATGCTGTAGGCACATTACTTGTTGGTAAGGCTTATTGCTAGTAAGTACACCCATACCCAATAATACATTAGAATTATCTGTGTCTAGAGGACTGTGATTAACCGTGATCTAGCAGCACTTACAAAGGCCTGGATGACCAGTATAAAACTATTCCCACCATCTAGATCAGCTCTGTCCAGTACAACTTTCTACGATGCTGGGAATGGGCTATAATCTGCACTGTCCAATCAAGAGGTCATGCAGCTCATGAAATGGGACGAGTACGACTGAGAAACTTATCGAGTAGTTACTGACCACCTTATCGGACAGCTCAGTCTAGAATCTGTCTCCATCTGTCAACACTCTTTAAACTCGCCCATGTCTTTTTCACTAGAGAAATAATTCTAAGTAACTGTCATTGATTCAAGGCAGCAGAACGCCAACTGATCCCAAGCCCTCCTCTTTAGCTGTTACACACGCGTTCACCGTGAACCTTCACCGAGAAACAGCGTCCATATAAAACCCATCGCACATGACAAAGTGTGTCAAACATCAAAGGACATGAAATCATCCACTTAAAATAACTCATCGCCCCTCGACCTCTTGGAGCACGGTCTCGAGGGTGGACGGGAACAAAAAACAAACCAGGGCAAATGCGCAGGGTAAACGCGTAGGGAAAATGCGAGGAGCACGCGGGGAGGTCTGGCGCCCCTGTCGGGCAACTCCACGCCGAGGCTGCCGGCGCACCCGCTCTTCCACGCTGAGCACCGTCGCTCATGGCTCGCGCACGGGCCGGACACGCCTCGCCCCGGTCCCCAACCCCAACGGCGGCACGCAGCACGGCAGTGCGAGAGTCGCGCCTCTGGCAGTGGCGGCTCCAAACCGTCCCCACCCCCAGCTCCTCGGAACCCCGCCTCGAAACCGTCCCCAAGCCGCTCATTGCTCAAGGCCCCCGTACAAAATGGCGGCCGGGTCTTAGGATCCAACCATAGAGACGCTCGCCCGCCGCGGAGAGAGCAGCAGCCTCTGAGCGCCGGTCCCGCTCCTCGCTAGCTTGGTCTTCCGGCGGGGGCGGGGAAAGGGCGCGTCTCCAAGGTCCCTTCTAGGAGAACAGTGTGCGGTCTCTATGGTGCCGGGTCCTCCGAGCCGGGTCACGTGGCTGGCGAAAGCTGTCGCGGAGGCGGGGGGAGGAGAAATGGGCGGGAGGTTGGGGGGGTTAGCGAGGCACCCAGCGACGACTAGGTTGTCATGGAGCCGCGGGGCAGTGCTCACGCATGCGCCACCTGACCCACGGGACCGGTCGTGGAGCGGCGACCCTGGCCCTAGGTGAGAAAGGGAGGGCTGGGTCAGGAAGGAGGGGAGCAGGGCTGGCGGCGGGAGAGGGATTGGGCGAGGAGCGTGGGGAAAGGAGGTGGAAGTAGGCGAGAGAGGAAGAGGAGCGAGTAGGCAAGAGGGGTAAACTGAGACTTTCGGGGGACGGAGGGCCAAATGGTGGGAGCGGGGGTTGTTGGCTTTGCTGTGAGGGGTGTGGGAGAGGGAATCGCGGGTGAGGAGGGGGCTGCGTGTGGGGAGGGGGCTTGTGTGAGGGGCCAGTGGGGCGAGTCCGTTAGGGCAGGTGGGCCTTAGTTTAGCCCTGGGGCAGCCGCCAGCCGGCTGGGAGGGGAAAGAACCTGGAGGCCAGCCCGGCTGGGAGCAGAGGGCCAGGCAATGGGTAGGTGAGTGGGCGCCAGAACTGGTAACTGGGCGAGGGTCCTGGGCTACCGGTTTGAGGTCAGGGGTAATACCCTGTTCTGGCCCCCAGGGCACAGGTGTGCTGCCTTTTCCAGAGACCTGCCGTCACCCACGTTGCTGGTTATTTCCCCTGTGGCCAGCTCGCCAGGCTTGGCGCCGGGGGTAGTGTTCTAGGGGAGAAGGTGGGCAGTGCCAAGTAAGGAGTTAGTGGTTAGTGGGTGCGTAGTTCGGGGGAGCTCTGATCCCGGCCCAGGGCACAGGCTGGAGCTAGGCGCCCTGTTATTGCTCAAGTCCTGGCAGTATGCATTGTCTGGGCGTTTGCCCTGGAAGGCTGGTGGTATGCCAGTCCCAGCACAGTACTAGGGTCTGCCCAGTTCTGCCCTGCTGAGCTGGCAGGCTGGTAGATGCCTGGAGGGTGCACATGCTGCCTGGCACAGATGCAACGTGGGCTGGTGCGAATGGGTAGGTGGGCACTGTTACTGTTAACTAATTGCAGCAGGGGAGCGGAGCAGAGAACGTTCTCTAAGCTCACCTCCTCTTTGAAAGGTGAAAATAGAGCCACACTGGTCTCAAACACAGGAAATTGTATGAAATTGGGGTTCAGGATCTTTCACACGAATTTTCAGCCAACTTGGAGAAATGGAATGAATGTGAAAGAGAAGATGAATATTAGATATTTAGGTAGATAGGGTTTTTCCACTGTTAAATTACACGGGCATTCTCTCAGGATGGTATCTGAATATGCAGGCCAAAAGAAAATGACTTCAGAGAAAACCTAGTAATGAACTTATCATTCTAACTGGGATTACTCAAGGTTTGCTCTCTGTGACCTTATCACTTTGTTGTGTTTAAGCGTCTGCTTGAGTTTTTACCTCACACTTCTGTCCAGGCACACATGTTATACACGTGACACATTTTAAAGAGAACTTGAGCTCCCAGGAATGTTGCCAAGTGTCTATAAAAGGAGAGATCTGAAAGCAGCATTTCAGATCCTTTTCTTGTAACCCTTGGATCTCCTTTTTAATCATAAGAACAAATCCCCACAAAGATTGTTTGTGGATTAGACCAGCCTTTAATTTGGATGTTGGATTTGTCCCTGAGGTTTCATCTTAGCATAAGGGGTAGATCAAATATCTGTTTCCTGCAGGGGACCAGACGTGGAGGCTAGCTCTTAAGGTGACTGTGGTGTTTGGAAATGCAGAATCTTGACCTTCAAGCTGTTCAGGTATTTCCATGACTGCTAAGCTACTAGAGCTGTCAGAGAGACAGCAGGTCAGCCATTTGTTGGAATTTGTTACTCTACTGAATGCCTTACGTTAATTGTTAGGGGCCAGGGGGGAAAAATAACCTCGAGGTTGAGGAGACAAATAATTAGACTAATGTCAGAAGTGCAAAAAGAGTAAGAGCTAAGTGCTTTGGAGTACTTGATAGAATTTTGAGTTTTGTCTCCTTATATAAACCAATATATTTATTGATTCACTTTTTTTTTTGAGACGGAGTCATACTCTGTCACCCAGATTGGAGTGCAGAAGCACAATCTTGGCTTACTACAATCTCCGCCTCCCAGATTCAAGCAGTTCTCGTGCCTCAGCCTCCTGAGTAGCTGGGATTACAGGCGCGCACCACCATGCCCAGCTAATTTTTGTACTTTTAGTAGAGACAGGGTTTCACCATATTGGCCAGGCTGATCTAGAACTCCTGACCTCAGGTGATCTACCTGCCTTGGCCTCCTAAAGTGCTGCTGGGATTACAGACGTGAGCCACCTTGCCCAGCTCTGATTCACTTGGGTTTTTTTGTTTTTTTTTGTTTGTTTTTTTAAGACTGAGTCTCACTCTGTCCCCCAGGCTGGAGTGCAGTGGCAACGTCTCGGCTCACTGCAACCTCCTGCTCCTGGGTTCAAGTGATTCTCCTGCCTCACCTTCTCAAGTAGCTGGGATTAGACATGTGCCACCACACCCAGCTAATTTTTGTATTTTTAGTAGAGACACGGTTTCACCATATTGGCCAGGCTGGTTTCAAACTCCTGACCTTAGGTGATGCATCCGCCTCGGCCTCCCAAAATGCTGGGATTACTGGTGCCACACCCAGCCTGATTCACTTTCCATTATGAGTTTTAGTGTGTACTATCCTCTCTGGGAAACTTTTGGACAATGTGTTACATATACATGCATAAGAGGCCCAATTAGGGTAAATTCTGACAGTTTTGGAGCTTAAATTAGCCCCCCAATGCAGAGTAAGGTACATGCATTTGTAAAGCAGCGTGAGTGATTTCCAGTCTGTGCCAGGAAGCAGAAAGAACACAGTGGTTAAGAGCTTAGTAACCCATTTTCAACTCCTAGTCAGTGTGTGAGCATCTAACTTTATTGTAAACTAATATCTAGGAGGAAAAAAAGCAAGCAACTTCTTGAGGTTTTCAGACTTTGCCTTGCAGACTTTGGGGTTGAGAGCATCAGTAGTAAATGCCATCACTCTCTGCTTCTCTCCTGTTGAGGGCTTTATGTGATGCTGTGTGTGAGTGGGTCCCTCAGCCACTCCCAGGAGGGCAGTGCTGCTCCTCCGAAGGAAGAAAGTTTGGGGAGGGATGTAGCCATTTGTTCTACATCCCACGTGAGCCTCCCTGGCTGTAATGCTAAGGCTTCTTGTTGCTTAAGAGAGCTTTACTGAAGACAGAGGCTTTCATATTTTTAATCATTTTTATATCCAAAATAGTCAATTTGCCATCCTAAAGTCGACTTTGCATTCTTTCCAACTGCCACCAACTCCCCAGGATCTAAGTTTAGTATCTGTTCTGTTTTTAACTTAACTCTGCGATACCTTTTCTCACCTACCATAAGGGTCACTGTTGACCCTCCCATAACAAAAGACAGGTTAACAGAGAAAATATAACAGTTTTATTTAATCAAAGTTTTCTTATGACACAGGAGTCTTCAGAATTGAAATCTCCCAAACTCAGGGAAAACTATTTTTATGCTTAGGTTTGGTGAAGAATGTAAGGCCATGTAAAAATATTGGACAAAAAAGGTATGATCTGGCTGGGCAGGGTGGCTCACACCTGTTATCCTAGCACTTTGCTGAGGTGGGAGGATTGCTTGAACCCAGGAGGTCGAGACCAGCTTGGACAACATGGCAAGACCTACTCTGTACAAAAAATTTAAAAATTAGCTGGGTGTGGTGGTATACACCTGGAGTCCCCGCTACTCGGGAGGCTAAGGCAGAAGGATCACTTTAGTCCAGGAGGTTGAGCCTGCAGTTAGCCGTGATCGTGCCACTGCACGCCAGCCTGAGCAACAGCATGTGATGCATCTATAAATAAAAAACAAAACAAAATAAATCAAACAAAAAGAGTGTGATCTAACAGTAATGGACTGAGGTGGGAAACCCAGCAAGATCTGTCTGTACAGAATTATTCTTGACCTCTGTGTAGCATTTCTTGCTCTCTGTTATCGGGCAGGACCCATTCTAGAATGATGGTCTTATGATCTACTATCAAACCAGACAGATCAGGTAATTTATTTATGGCCAGGAAGTTGAGGCTGCTGTGAGCCATGTTTGTGGCCTTGCACTCCAGCGTGGGCGACAGAGCAACACACAGTTTCAGATAAAACAAAAAACAACAACAAGCACTCATTATGCTAAAGTGCCATACTTTGGAGTATTGTTTTCTGAGCCTCAACAACTGATTTGTCAATGTTTTAGTATTTTGACTCCATGATCAATTATCTGTTCTACAAATTCTCAATAAGCCAGAATAAATTCCTGTGTATTTTCTGTGGTTCCATTGACTACACTTTAATAATAATAGCAAGACTTTTTTCGTTGTTTTGCCACAAAGATTGTAGAAGACTAAATTGGGATGTATTATCTAAAGTTCCTGTAAAATAATCCATGTTTAGTAAGATAATGTGAAACTTCAAGAACCTAAGATCCTAAGTAAGGTTCTTAATTAGTTGCAACTAGCATGAGCAACCCTCCTAATGTAAATCAACAGCCTGGTTTAACTTGAATTAGTTGGAATGCCCATCCACAATCCTCATCTACTTCCATTTTGGAAAAGGCTTCTATTCACTTTCGAACAGTATTATTTTAGGAAAATTGTACTATGCACGTTTGTTGAATTTCATACAAAAGGATCCTGATTTAATTAGAGATATAGTTTTACACTTTAGTCTACTTTTTAAACTGGGCTGTCAATGCTGTCAAATTTCATAGCTGTCAAATAGACATTGCTTTTTCACAGTTCTCTACAAGATGTGACAGTGCTGTTGTTTATCTTTTATGCACATAGGATTAAACATGTGACCTGTGGAAGAGTACTTGATATGATGTCAGTTGAATGAGGAAGCCAGTCCCCTTAAATGAGTTAGATGTGGGGCAAAATGATTTTAACTTGGAATTGTGTTTAAAATTCACTCTCATTCAGTCCAGTTTGTGTTCTCTTTAGTCTCCTCCTACAGTATGCAAAAGTATGAGCAAGAGGGTGGCTTATAAGCATCCTTGTCTTCTATTTAATTTTATTTTGAATCCTTCCTCTGCTGCTTCTAGGGTAGTTAATGTTCTTCACTAGATCTTATATTAGCAGAGCTGTCCAGACTTGGCACTCCAGGGTATTCCAGATAGAGTGCCATTTAGCAGGGGGCTTATGTTTTTCTTCACTCAGAAGGACAACAGGACAAAATCAGGAGTGCATGGTGAATTAGAACACAAGGCTTTGCTTGCGTCTTCCCAGTTTCATTATTGTCAGGTTCCCTGTTGGCCTGTTCTCCTTATCCCTGTGGTGGTCTTTGTGTTCTTATGCTGGCCTTACAGTTGCCATTCCTTGGTGACTCAAATGGCCATGTTAAAATATCTGGGATATTCTTATCCTCGGCCAGCACTTTGAAGGGAGCAACAGATACCCATTCTGTTCACCCTATGTCCCTAGTCCTTACCCAGTGCCTGATTTTTTACAGTGGCATTTGATAAATATTTCTAAATAATTGAATGTAACTTATCTGACCCTCGGTTTCCTCCCCTGCAAAGTGAGACAGCAACTGAAGATGACATTGTGAGGCCCAAGTGAGATAACACTAATAGCAACACATATTATCAGCTCTTTATTATATATGATTTTATTTGCCCATAAAAGTGTTTTTTTAAGCCCAAAAGTAGCATGCATGTATAGGTAGTTGTTTTTGCTTTCTGTTCAACGTCAGCCAAAAGATTTAGAGGTTAATTTGAGAAACACTACACTATGGGAGGTGGCAATAGGTCATAAGCCTGCAAATGTACACTTGGAAAGCAAGGCTTGTGGTGTCTCTTCTCCTCTTCCCTTTCCCCTCTCCCCCTCCTTCTGCCCTCTCCCTTCTCCCATCTTCCTTTTCCCTTCTCTTCACTTCCCTGTCCCCTCTCCTCTATGGCGAGTTCATTTTGTTACCCATTGCAAAAAGCCTAATCAAATGTGCCTTTGTTAGCAGTTTACAAAGTGTATGCTGAATGTGGTTTGTGTGCCTTAAATTTGTAATGGAATTAGAGGGCAGCCAGAGGACTGTGAATTTCCTTTTGGGTGGAAACCATTCTGTTTAGTAAACTTGAAGCTTTTGTCACTTGAGACCTCCGAGAAAATAAAGCTGAAGTGGGTGAGGCCAGTGTTCTTTGCCCATACTTTATTCACTATTTGGATCACCTGTTTCAGCTCTCCAGGCAGTGACTTCTTACGTAATTGTTTTTCATAGGGCAGTCCAGATGCAAAGAGTACCAATGAATCTGCCTCCAGCTGAATAAACCATGGAGAGGAAAAACCCATCCAGAGAGAGCCCCAGAAGACTCTCCGCCAAAGTAGGCAAAAGCACAGAGATGAAAAAAGTGGCTCGTCAGCTCGGGATGGCTGCTGCTGAGTCAGACAAGGACTCTGGCTTTTCAGGTTAAAAATATCTTCTCCTTCCTCTGTTTTGGAGTGAATGCTTTGCCTGAAAAATTTCCTACCCAAAACTCATTTATGTGATAAGGATGGGATGCTTTCATGCACAGGAGAAAGAATTACCTGATGCCTCAGCATGGTAATTCTGATGCCATATGTCAGGGTACCCATCAAAATCACTGTAGGGTTAGTTGTGAAAGAATTATTTGACATCTTTTTTTCAACTTAGACTCTGAATCTTACACTTCCAACTATTGCAACTGGTTACTAGAAAAATGTATTTAAATACTCATAATTCTGTTGTTTTAGTTCCTTTTTCATAGGAATTATTACATTGTAGGGGGAAGATGCTACTGCATATTGTCACCATGTAACAAATTTGAAGACTCCCAGTTAAATACTGATAATTTGTAAGGTAACTTTTTCATTGAGAAAGTACTTGTGTTTAGAAAAGTACCCCTTACCCCTTCTCCCAGACCCTATGCATTTTGTATTTGGACTCGGAGCCACCTGGCCCAGTTCTAAACTTGAGTATCTATTAGCGATAAGAAAATAGAACAGTTTTCCTTACAAGTTTGTCTTAAACCTTACCCAAAGGGGCTAGCTGCATATACATTGAATCTTTTAGTTTTGTACTGGGTCTATTTTTTTATTTCCCAGTCTGAGGGTAGTGGCTTGAATATGGCGGTAGTGTGATTTTTGACCCAGGGATGCAGAGGGGTGATGCTGAGGGATTTTGGCCGAGTCAACATCCTGAGAGTAGAACCTCTCAAGATTTATATTATCCAGACTCACAAAGAAAAATCAATCCATTTTGATTTATTACAGTGAGAAATGCTGTTAGGAAAACTAGAACTCTCTTGTCTTTAGATTGGCATATTTTCTCCCTGTAGGCATGCTGCTTGAAAAGGCAAATTATAAATAGACTGTTGCTCAAAGACGAAAAGGATTAGATTAAGAGGAATTAGTTGCCCTGCCCAGAGCCGGGACAGCCCAGGGAAGGGCAGGCCAACCTGTAGCCCTTTGGATTGTTTCCCAGCCCTGCCTCATCATTAGGCTCACCTGAGGCATTTGTTAAAAATATTGATCACCAAACCCCTTTCCTGGTGACTCTTTCAGGAGTCTGGAAAGGGCCTGGAATGCGGGTTTTTTTTAAAAACAAGTGTTTCCGTTGTATGATCGGACAGGTTTGGGAAACATTGGAGGCCTAGTGTCTCTTTTTTTCTTTTAATATCATGTTTGCTTTTTGTCTGTTTCTCATTTCATGAAGGTAATACGTGCTCATTGTAGAAGCTTAGAAATTTAGGAAAGCACAAAGAAGAAAATAAACATTATCCACAATCCTGCCATCTATTATTTCCAGTACTGTTGACATTTTGACACTTCTGAGAACTTCAACTTTGTCAGGCCAGCTGTTTTAAGAATATTGTACTACTCAGACATAAGGTAGTATTAAAATAATCAAACTCATTATGCCCCAGAAAGTACTCAGTGAATGCCATTGGAATGCTTCTAGCCACTCTTGGGCCAGGTACCAGTGATTTCCTCACTGCCTGAGTTACCTTAGAGTAGGATGAAATTTGCAAAATCAAGACAATTTTTTCCATTTTAATTACACATTTGTATTTCAAACCTATACAAAAGCAAATGAATACCCCATAACCCCATATATCTATCATTTTGCCATATATGCTTTCTCTCTCTCTCTCTCTACACGCACACATAGACACACACAAACTATTTGAAAGTAAATTGCAAACACTTGACATTTTACCCCTAAATAGCTTCAGTACAAATTTCCTAAAAACAAGAACATTCTTCTATATAGTTATAATATCATTATCATACCTAAGAAATGTAACACTGATACTTATTAGCTACACTTCATATTCAGATTTTACCCCATTGTCCCAATAATGTCCTTTAGCGCTCTTTGACTTTTTGTCTGTCTGTTTTGGATCCAGGATCCAGCTGAAGATTGAGCATTGCATTTAGTTGTTGTGTCCTTTAGTCTGGTTTAGTCTGTAACCACTCCCCTATCTTTTCTTTCCCATTTTTTCTTTCCTCTTTCTTTATGACGTTGACATCTTTGAATGAGTCGGGCCTGTTGCTTTGTAGAATGTCTCACCCTCTGGATTTTCTGGTAGTGTCCCCACCATTAGGATCAAGATAAACATCTTGACTAAAATACTGTGTTGTTGATGTTTTATTTTTTCCATTACAACATGTGGAGACTCATAAGTAAGTCTTACTATTGGTGATGCTCTGGTTGGTTGATCACTTGGCTAAGATAGTGTATACCAGACTTATCATAAAAGCACTCTTTTCTCTTTGTAATTAATAAGTAATTTAGGGACAATACTTTGTAATTGTGTGACTATCCTATTTCCCAACAAACTCTTTACCAGAGTTAGCATCCATTGATGATCCTTGCCTGAATCAGTACATTGGTGGTTTAAAAGTGGTGATCTTCTAATTTTACCATTCTTTGTAGATCATTAGCTGACCTTCTTCTGTAAAAACTTCTTTCCCTCCTCCCTCTTCTTTGAGTATCACTAATGTATTCATGAATTCTTTTGTAATTCAGTTTGTCCGTCCATTAAAATCATTATTTCTGATACTCAAATTGTCTCAAATTTGGCCAGTGGGAGGCCCTTCAGGATAGCTTTTGTGTCCCTTTGACACTTCTCTGTTAGTGTTTGAGCACTTCTTTGCTTTCTGGGACAACAAGCTGTCCAGGTTTATCTCATACCTTGCCTGTCAAAGTCTTAGAATCAGCTGTTTCTCCAAGGAGCCCTCATTTCCTTTACATGCAGAATGGCATTTAGAAACTAAGATCTGGGTATCCAATATGTACATTGTATCTGGACTCATTTGTTTTTGGTCTTATGGTTCTTAACTAGAGGTGCACATTTGGATTACTTGTGTTTTATGAAAATATACCTAACCATGGAACCAGGTAAATCACTTCAGTAGATCAAGGGAAGGATCGCAACATTCATAATTTTTGAAAAGTGTCACTGGAGATTCTAAGTAATATCTCCATTGATGCATATCCTTCTGGTCATACAGTCTTCATTAAGCTGGAGAAAATATAATTGTTGACAGTACATTCACATAAATGACAGTCACATTTCAGTTCTGCCTCATCCAGATGACTTTGAGAGTCTTGATGTGCATTTAGGCTACTTCCAGACTCCTCGACAGCAGGGTACAACAGTCTCTTAGTTTACTCCAGCAGGTATCTAAGTACATCCTTTTTGCATGAAATTTACATAGAGTAACCTTATTTTCTTTGCCTTGGAGAACATCTTTCTATCACCCATTGTGCAGGATCCCCAAACAAAAGGCACACTCAGCATGCACTTAGGATACCATCAAAAGGGGTGGGACGTTGAGGACAGACAACAGAAAGAAGTAAACTTCAGCTTTGATGAACTTATCCAGAATTTTACAATTAGAAAATCTAGGAAGACACTTTTTAAATTTCAGTATGGATGGCTGGGCCTGGTGGCTCACGCCGGTAGTCCCAGCACTTTGGGAGGCTGAGGTGGATGCATTACCTAAGGTCAGGAGTTTGAGACCAGCCTAGCCAACAAGGTGAAACTCTGTCTCTACTAAAAATACAAAAAATTAGCTGGATGTGATGGTGCATGCCTGTAATCCCAGCTACTCGGGAAACCGAGACAGGAGAATCTCTTGAACCCCGGAGGCAGAGGTTGCAGTGAGCCAAGATCATGCCACTGCACTGCAGCCTGGGTGACAGAATGAGACTCTGTCTTAAATCAATAAATACATACATAAATTTATTTCAGAATGGATGTAAGTTTTGAGGTTTACAGATTGGTTTTTTTAATTATTGTAATTACATCTTGTAGTACCCAAACCCTTTGAAGCTCTTAATCCTACTGTGGGCCATACCCATCTCCTTTCTCAACAACAGATTCTCGAAAGTAATAAACTAACTTTGAAGCCTTGAACTCATTTCTCCTGTACACTGGTGATGATTACTTTCCTGTGAGCCCTAACTGAGGCAGGTTTTTATCTGTAAGAGAGTTAGAAAGGAAGTCAAACTTGTCTTAGGGCAATGATTCTTAATCTGTGGGGGAGGAGGGATTAATTACCAATCCCGTTGAAAATCCAGTGAAAGCTAAAAGCCTTCTTCTCAATAAAATTCACAAAAACACATCACAAGTGTTGCATTCAATTTCAAGAGGTCCATAGCTCCTTAGGAGTCTGGTTAAGAGTCCCTGTCTAGAGCCTAAGTGAATTGACCATTCTTCTGCCCACCAGATGGGAGCTCAGAATGTCTGAGTTCCGCAGAGCAGATGGAGTCCGAGGACATGCTGAGCGCCTTAGGCTGGAGCAGAGAAGACAGGCCGAGGCAGAACTCCAAAACTGCAAAGAATGCCTTCCCAACGCTGTCTCCCATGGTCGTCATGAAGAATGTGCTGGTCAAACAGGTGAGGAGGACTAATATCACCTAAAGCCTTTGCAAATAAAAATTTCTGAGCTTCCTGTGTATAAAGGAAGAGATTTATACTCTCTCTGCCAAGGATAGGTTTTAGAAACAAAACAGACCACTAGAACCACACCAATGTGTACTTTCTGTCCTGGGGAGCGATGTTATCTTTCAAGTGCTGACACTGTTTTAAAAAGGAATACAAGAATCATGACATGCGTTCTCATCTTTGAGACAGTTAGGTTGTTTTATTTTTGTATTCATAGTTTGTCCAAAGGGACCCTGAAGTGTATGTAAAGGAACCAAGCAGAAATGGCATCACTTCAGTGGTGTATTCTAACATATGGCAGAGTTTAGGTTAGAAACAAAAGAAGCTCTTTTTAATATGAATTGCCCTGGGAATTTAGGAATGTAGAATACATTTATTTGCTTCAGAATAAATAACAGAGGCAATTTCCTTTTTTTATGCATATGATGAGCATTTTCCTAGTAGTCAATCAGAGCCCATCATGAGTGATGAAGCTGCTCCTGGTTCAGGTATGGGAACACCAGCAGAATCCACACAGCATTGTTGTGGAATGGAAACACATCCTGTTTGGGGCTTTATTACATAACTATGTTTATTATATGATTATTGTTTAGATATGAAAGAAAAGATTGAGGTGAAAATCTAAGTTAAGCTCTAGTGTTTGAAACTGAGAACTTGATCATATAGACTTAAGTTAGAATAGAGAAGTCTGAGAATAGAAAAGATTGATTTCAGCCAAAGAAGTTTAATCTTACTGGACTTTCCTCTGAAAATATATCAGTTTTCGTATGGGTCCATTGATGAGACTACTTGAAGATTGTGAAATTTGAAATCTGGCTTGGGTAGTTGACTTTTCTTCGGTAGGTAAAATGTTAGAACATGGCTTTAGCCTGACAGGAAATCTTAATGTCTTAGCTATTACCCAGTTATGTCTGAGGAACACAAACTGATTTCAACAAGGCAGCCTAGTGAGTTCTGAAGAAGAATTTGAAGATTTTTGCTTGGTAAATCACATCTCAGCTGGAAGCATGGCTCTCTTATTGAAAGGAAAAGAATAGAGACAGGAAATGGAGCCCATGTGAGATGGCCCTGGCCCTACCAGTGCCACCAGAGCTTCTCCTGGGCTTCCTTTCTCCCAGTTCTTTTTCTCCCTGCCTTCCTCTCTGGCTTCCTTGTCCCTTTCTTGTGTGTCTGTGTTTATATCCCTTCTTTGTTGTAGGCTAGGCTGGCAGCTCCAGAAGGCTGAGAACAGCCCACACACAGTTACAGAGTGAGTAGGCTTTTCCAGCAGAGCCACATTCTTCAGGACAAAGACCCGCCAAGAAGGCTGCTGGGCCTGATCTGGAGCGAAGAGAGTTGGGGACAGGCTGACCTAAGGGAGTATCTGGGAGTTTTGTTTTGGTTTTTAAAAACGTACCAGAATCCAGCATATTCTAAAATTAAAATAATGATACACATTTAAAACCCTCTGCATGTTGTGTAACGTCTTGATTATTGCTGCTTGGTTTTCAATGCTTTTCTTTTGGGAGTCTGATTCCATCTCTGTCACTAGACAGTGTGATCTTGTACATTATTAACCACCGTGGATATCAGCTTCTTCATCTTTAATATGAAGGCTTTATGTGAAATGATTCTGAGATCCTGTCAAAGTCTAAAATTTTGTTCCGTATTCCCTCAGATGATTTCAACATGAATAATACAATTTGTAAAATCTAACAATTAGAACAAATTATCTAAATATCTGTTAGGTCAGTGAGCGTAACAGTAGCATTAGGAAGTGCAGTCCAGTAAAATCATGAGAAAGCAATGCATTAGGTATTTTCCGGATCCATTTGCCTCGTAGGTCAGCCCTGGAGAAGGCATGGAGTTTTGCTTCTGACTGAGTTGGAACAGGCTAATCTCTACTTCAAAAGACCTCTTGATTTTGGATATCCTTTGACAAGGAAATATGTTTTCTGGATCTAGCATTGCTTGCCTTAGCATATCCTGGAGTATCTTTGAACGTCAAGAGGGCTCCAGATCATTCCAGCCTTTGCATGAGAAATGAATTATAGTGGGCCTAAAGTTCATCACCTTGCATCCAAGAAACTGAAATGTGTGCAAAATGGTGTGCACATGTACATGTATGGGAAGACAGTGTGTAATGTTCTTCAGATAAATCAAATGACCCCATTTGACCCCACTGAGGATATGAACCTCTGTCAGGTTTGCCCTCTGCCTGGCCTCATCTATACTCAAATTTTTGGGACCAGGTTGGAACTGGATTGGCTTTCAAACATTGGAGACAAGTAGCCATGTTCTTCTTTATTGGATTTTATCAGAATCAATACTTTAATTAAAAATAATGTGTGATTGAGGAATAATAAAACAAAGGCAGTATAGCAGAATGGTTCAGATGGGTTTTAGAGTCAGACAGAGGATGGAATCCTAACTGCATCACTTAGTAACTTGGTGACTTAAGTTATTTCAACTAAGCCTCAGTTTCCTGTTTATGAAGGGAAATAGTAACTACTTCATGAGATTGTTATATGGATTAAGTAACTCACATAAAATATTACACACAGTGTAGCCTGTAGTCAGCACCAATACATTGTTATTATTTTGAATGGTTTTAGGATCCCGGATGTCACTGCCTTAAAAACAGGGACCCACAGACTCTTGACAATATGGGTTTTTTTTCTGTTTTTGTTGTTGTTGTTGTTTGTTTGTTTTTGAGACCAAATCTTGCTCTGTTGCCCAGGCTGGAGTGCAGTGGTGCGATCTCGGTTCACGGCAACCTCCACCTCCTGGGTTCAAGTGATTCTCCTGTATCAGCCTCCTGAGTAGCTGGGACTACAGGCGCGCACCAACACACCCAACTAATTTTTTGTATTTTTAGTAGAGACGGAGCTTCGCATGTTGGCCAGGCTGGTCTCAAGCTCCTGACCTCAGGTGATCAGTCCATCTCAGCCTCCCAAAATACTGGGATTACAGGCATGACCCACCACGCCCCGCCCAATATGTTACATTTTAATCAAAAGTTATTTTCAGGTAAAAGGGGTTCCAGGTGTAACTAAATGAAGATACACTTTGTTGTAAAGTCACATTTTAACTTATACCAGGCAATCCATATTTTTATTTTAGTTGTGACCTTAGCTATGTCATTACTTTACCTGCCCATTTCTTTTTCTGAGTGATAACACTTGAATAAAAATAGGTATTTCCTCCAACTTTCCCTTAGGAAAAGTTAAAAAAAAAAAAAAAAGTATTTGTGATATCAGACACAAATAGATGTTCAAGCCAGTATGTGAGGGAAGCTCTGTCCTCGAAATTGTTCTACACATCTGAGTATCCGCTTTCCCCTTTGACAGAAGCTTCACTCTATCCTTTCAGCAGTAATAAGTAGTGTGCTGCTCTCCTCCTTTGTCTTCAGGGCAGCAGCTCATCCCAGCTCCAGTCGTGGACTGTCCAGCCCTCCTTTGAAGTGATCTCAACACAGCCACAGCTCTTATTCCTTCATCCACCTGTGCCATCTCCCGTCAGTCCATGTCACACTGGCGAGAAAAAGTCCGACTCCAGGAACTACTTGCCCATTCTAAATTCTTACACCAAAATAGCCCCACATCCAGGCAAAAGGGGCCTTTCCCTTGGCCCAGAAGAAAAAGGAGCAAGTGGGGTGCAAAAGAAAATCTGTACCGAGAGACTTGGGCCTAGCTTGTCTTCCAGTGAGCCAGCCAAGGCTGGTGCCGTTCCGCCCAGTCCCTCCACACCAGCACCGCCCAGCGCCAAACTTGCCGAGGACTCGACTCTGCAGGGTGTGCCCTCCCTGGTGGCAGGTGGAAGTCCACAGACTCTTCAGCCGGTATCCAGCAGTCACGTGGCTAAAGCTCCCAGTCTGACCTTTGCTTCCCCCGCCAGTCCTGTCTGCGCATCCGACAGCACTCCGCACGGGTTAGAGAGCAACTCTCCCCTTTCACCACTGTCTGCTAATTATAGCTCACCTTTATGGGCTGCAGAGCACCTCTGCCGCAGCCCAGATATCTTTTCAGAGCAACGGCAGAGCAAACATAGGCGCTTTCAGAATACCCTAGTAGTCCTACACAAATCAGGTTTGCTGGAGATCACTTTGAAAACGAAGGAGTTGATTCGTCAGAACCAGGCAACTCAGGTAGAACTAGACCAGCTGAAGGAGCAAACCCAGCTGTTTATAGAGGCCATCAAAAGCAGGGCCCCTCAGGCTTGGGCCAAGCTGCAGGCATCTTTAACACCTGGGTCCAGTAATGCAGGCAGTGACCTAGAAGCATTCTCTGATCACCCAGACATATAGCACAGAGGCACATTTTCCTGTTACTTGAGTGGTTCTTTTAGCTCGTTTGCTGTTACCTACTCCTGTTTCCCAAAGCTTATGTAAGAGCTTTTCCTTCTAAACTTAAACTGTGTCGTGGTTCACTTAGGAAGCCACATGCGAATACCTGGCTGCTGTCTTAACTTGTGGTCTGGGCACAGGATACATATGTCCCTGTTCCACTGAGGACCTCAGTTTCGGAGTGCCCTTGAGCCCCTTTTCCTTAGCCTGAAGGTGCTTCGATGGATCATGGGGCAGAGCAGGAGATGATTGTGTGGGGTTCTTCCTGCTGTCACCTCCCACTATCCCACTTACTAACCAGGATCAAGGGTGCAGTAACACAAATGAGGATACAGACAACACCTGTTGAGTCAGGGAGTAGGTGACACAAGGAAACCTTCATGGATCTTCCCTTGCCTGTCTTAGTCACAGAGAGAAATAGGCAGTGTGTTTGCATTCCACAAGGCATCGTGCCAGTTGGGTGAGACCTAAAATGCCCTGGGCACAGGTTACACCCTGTTGCAAGCACTTAATCACTCAACGCTTTGTTTTCTTAAACTTGAAAGTCAAGGGAAAGGGTAGTACCATCTGACATCTACACTTTCATTACAAGTCAGATTTCTCTTAAACTAGCAGGCAAAAAAAAAAAAATACTTCCAAATTTTAAGGTATGGAATGGATGCAGTACCATCTGGAATTATAGTCAGTGAATTGCTTTTTTGACTTAGAAACTGAAGGAAATAGACATGGCCCACATATCTCATGGTCAGGAGCTAGACAATTCTGGTAACTTAGGCTTTCTTTCTCTCTTCTTTTGAAACAGTGTTACCTGTTTTATGTCTAAAAATCTTAAGGATAGTTTCAGTCGTTCCTGGGGATGTTGTATAAGTTAACTCTGTTGCCACCTTGGTTTTTGTCTCATTTATTTTGGTAAAAGAAGTTATTATGCTTGATAAACTTTGAATTAAATACAATTGTCTTAAGGGTATGATAATAAGTCCACAAAAAAATTAGAAAGGGATGTGAAAAGAAAAAGAAACCATTTTCTTTTCACATCCCACGTTTTCACTTGTTCCATGTCATAGTGATGGGAAGCAGTTACAGAGCAGCATCTTCTGTGTTTCCTTCATGTGTTAGATATTGGCAACAAAGCCAAAAGTGTAATGTTGATTATATGAAGTTCATCTCAAAATGGAGAACATGACCAGAGTTTCCAGATGATACATGTTCTTTTCACCTTTATTATATAGGCAACTATGTTTCTAAGTAGTAAAGTTTCAAAATACTCTCTCATTTTAAAATTTCATTCTCTTGAAAACCTTTGTGTTTTGCAAAATCATCTTAAGAAGTTCTGTATGATCAGCTTCATTTTTTTTTTTTTTTTTTTTTTTTTTTTTTTTTTTTTTTTTTTTTTTTTTTTTTTTTTTTTTNACTCTTGTTGCCCAGGGCTGGAGTGCAATGGCGGGATCTTGGCTCACTGCAGCCTCTGCCTCCCAAGTTCAAATGATTCTCCTGCCTCAGCCTCCCAAGTAGCTGGGATTACAGGCACCCATCACCACGCCCAGGTAATTTTTGTATTTTTAGTAGAGAGGGGGTTTCACCACATTGGCCAGGCTGATCTTGAACTCCTGACCTCAGGTGATCCACCCACCTTGGCCTCCCAAAGTGCTGGGATTACAGGCCTGAGCCACCACGCCTGGCCCAGCTTCACCTTTTCTGCAAATAAAAGTTTTACCAAGGCCAGAAGTTAAAGATAATATTTCCTAGGTAGTTGTAACTCTAGCATAGTTTTAAAAGTATGTGGCTTCAGATTGCCTATACTTTGTATACAAACATGTGATTTAGATATGACTGATTTTGAAGTAAACAACTTGGTAACATCCCTTGACTCCCCTCATCAATGCAGAATTATTACCTGCTGTTTGCTTTCTGAAAGAATTTCAGAAATCAGAGCAAATGTGTCTTTAGGCAGACTCAGCTCCTTTTAATATTTTTCTCTTGGCCCACTCTCTTTGCCTCCCCTGAATCCGTGTGGTACTATAGCAGCTCTACTCTGCACCATGCTAGGAAGCTTCCTTTTTGGCAGAATATGTTTGGCAGCAAAGCTACAGAGACAGGTGCGTTCAGAACAGCCTGGGCACCAGTCATGAGTCTTACTGCGTGTCAAAAATCTGAAAACACTTGCTGAGAACCAAATTTATTCCATTGGAAAAACCCTCTGTGGAGCTATAAGACTCTTGGACTTTTCTTCCTAGATTAAGGCTTGCATTTCCTTTCCTGTTTCAGTAAAAGATGATGAAAGCCATTATCGATCTTCATTGCTGAGTGGCAGGGAGAAGCAGCACCACCCCCAGCTCTTCTCTAATCTTGTAACTTGGTGCTAGAAGTCTCTCCAGGCCATTACCATGGGTGTTTGTTCCCTATTGGAGCTATAAGCAGATGAACCCAAGTAGAGAAGATAGATCTTGGAAGGAGAGATCCACTGGGGCCAGCAGACAGTTGGGGCCAGAAGCCAGATCAGCAAATAGAGGAAACTCGGAGGTGACCAGAAAGATCTCCATCGGTTGCCCAAGGCTGTAAGTAGTAGTGATGGTTCTAGTGATGCATAACATAATTGGCTATGAAGTACTGTGGCAGAGCTGCTGATTTCTAAAGGTGAGAAGCCGTTTTTAGCTCAGAGCAACTCAAGAGAAATCTTGGCAGATTTTGTTGGCATTATTGAAATACATCTAGAAAAGTTGCTGATTGCAATAGTTATGGGAATGGAATTTAATGACATTTGTAATTTATTACACTCATTGGTTTTTATTGATTATAGTATTGTCTTTTTCTTTTCTACTATGGTTCCTTTAGCAGAAAAGTAACCTTTGTGCATATATTGAAGTGGTTTTTGAGCTATGAATTCCTTAGGGTAGAAATTTATTTAGCAAATGTGAATTCTTTTGAGAAAGTATGAAGTTTTGTAGAAATTGACTGTGAAATGTCAGAAAAAAATAAAAGTCACTTACTTGAAACCTATTTGGCCTTTTTGCTTTATAACTGCTTAAAAATACCGAGTGAAACCTTGGAATAACTTTTTGAACTGATTAAATATTAAACATAGGTACTAATTTATTTGGGAATATTGGAATTAGACAATGAACATGTGGAAATTCATTGCTCAGATTTCCACTGGTGTGAACTTAAAAGGAAATATGAGCAGTTTTATGGCAAGTGTGTAGTCTTCTGTTCTCTGGAGCCTTAGAAGTTTATACTGGGCAGGTTGGGAGGAGTGAGAGGTGAAGACAGTCCAGTGATTTCTTCCATCTGATTGACACTTTCACAAATAGAACTTTTAAATGACAAAGCTACTATAATTATTATACTGAGATAAATTAAAGCCACAGTAAGTGAAGTTCTTTCTACAGCACAGAGGTCCTGAGCAAGCACATCTCCATACCTTCCCCCGTGCCTCCTAACCCTTGCTCCTTGTCAGGGGTTCACCTAGAGGATCTCAACAGGGAGACATGTGGTGTTCTCCCTGTTTCCCAGGGCAGTCAGGAACCTCTTCCTGGGATCTTTAAGACACTGGGGAAATAAAAAGCTGGTCCTCACCAAAAAGCCTGGAGGGTTGTCATAGTCTAATTTTTTTAGTATTATTTCTGTCCTGTACAATTGTCTAAGTGGCTTTTTAAAAGGTAGCTGTAAGGCCACTAGCAAGAAACAAAAACTGGGTAAAGATGGCTAGAGAAGGTCCCTCCTGAAATAAAGAGAACTATACTTCGTTAAGAAGTGGAATCCAGAGAAGGGAGGGAGCACACGCAACGAGTAGAGCCTGAGAGGCTCAGGAGAACCCAGTTATTTGCATTTGCAGCTTCTCACCCCTCAGCGTGATTCTTCTATGTGGAAATGCTTTCCCTTAGGACGGCCTGTTTGCAAGCGTGTTTAATCCACATCTTTTATGGCATCCCTGCAGATTGTAGCCTGGTGTGACGGGATCTAAAGACCTACATTCACATGTCATATCTACTACTCACTGACTCAGTGACTTTGGATAAGTCATTTAACCTCTCTCTAGATGTCATTCCTCTCAGTTGAATGATGAATTTGAACTAGTTACCTTCAAGTTTCATCTCATTGCTAACCCTTGTAAGATCTATAGTTGTGTTATAGGTGAGCCATAAAATTAATAGATTAAAAAAATTTTTTTTTGAAGACGGAGTCTTGCTCTTGTCGCAAGAACAAATTGCTAGAGTGTAAAAAATTGATATATTAAAATTTCTTGTTTTTTTAAGATGGAGTCTTGCTCCTGTCACAACAGCAAATTGCTGGAGTGCAATGGTGCAATTTCAGCTCACTGCAACCTCCGCCTCCTGGGTTCAAGTGATTTTCCTGCCTCAGCCTCCCAAGTAGCTGGGATTACAGGTACCCACCACCACACCCCGCTAATTTTTATATTTTTTTTAGTAGATACAGGGTTTCACCATGTTGGCCAGGCTGGTCTTGAACTCCTGACCTCAGGTGATCTACCTGCCTCGGCCTCCCAAAGTGTTGGGGTTACAGGCATGAGCCACTGTGCTTGGCCGGTTAAATTTTTGCAAACCTAAGGTGCCTAGAAGAGTTTCTGAGGGTTTCCAGTGAGATGGTTTTATAGTACAGCGTTCTGCCAGATTTTTAACTTCTTTACATGGAACTCTGGGAGAAGCGCTTTGCCAGTTTGCGTTGGTTTTGCCTTTCATATGATTATCTTGTGGCAGCTAATGTGGATTTACTACCTCCCATGTAAAAAACTGGTCTCAATTCTTACTGGCCCAGAAGAAGAATAATTTAGGGTTAAATGAGATCATGTCCTTTTCTGGTCAGTCATCTGCAAACAGCTTTTTCCTTTCATTTGAGATGAAGGAGGTAACTTGTGTATTTTGAAGAGTATAGTTAGCTTATTTCCTTTCAGACTTCTCTCCCCACAACCAGGGATGATGTTTCTGCTTGTGTTTTAAGGAACCATTTGGGGATGGATGCAGTGGCTCACACCTGTAATCCCAGCACTTCAGGAGGCCGAGGTGGATGGATTACTTGAGCCCAGGACTTTGAGACTAGCCTGGGCAACATGGTGAAACCCTGTCTTTACAAAAAATACAAAAATTAGCTGGGCATGGTGGCACACACCTGTAGTCCCAACTACTCTGGAGGCTGAGGTGGGAGTATCGCTGGAGCCCAGGAGACAGAGGTTGCGGTGAATCAAAATCATGCCACTGCACTCCAGACTGGATGACAAAAACCCTGTTTCAAAAAAAAAAAAAAAAAGCCAAACAAAAAACAGAACCACTTGGGTTGATTTAACATTATTTTCACTGTCACTAGTCAGAGATGACATAGATGCAGTGATACTTTGTGAGGTCTTTATTCTGGTCCCAGCCTTTTGGGTCACCTTTCATCTACACCAGAAGAGAGATTAGAGATGAAAAGAAGGCTGCCTGGGTGACACAGCACAATCAGAATCCCTGCGAGAAAGAGGCAGAAGAAAACAGTGACCGTGCCCTAGCTCCTGCAGCCTGTATCTCTGCTACCTCAGTTTCCTTCAGCAAAAGATGAGTGGTGTAATCCTCACTATGCACTTGACATCCTGAGATGAAGGTGCAATGCAAAAACATGATGTCTCAAAAGTGTTTTAAAACTGCTCCGCAGAGCGAGGCAGCCTCGCTGCTCACAGACCAGTGATGAGATTCTAGTGATGGCATTCAGCCCCTTCATGGTTGTTATTGCTTGGGATAATTAAGACTATTTTCTACCAAAATCTCATTTACAATGCATGAGAGGAGAGCAAATACAACCCAGGATGGTTACTCTTTGACTGGCTTCCTGGAAGGAGCTGTTCTGTGGGTCCATGTGTGACCATTTTGGCTTTTTCCTCTCAGAATCCTTCCTTTCCTCTTTTTTTTTTTTTTTTTTTTTTTTTTTTTTTTTGTTGTTGTTGTTGAGATGGAGTTTTATTGTTGTTGCCCAGGCTGGAGTGCAATGGT